TAACCTCGAGGCAAAATCTGGAGCCGGAGTCCAGGAGGCAGTTTGTGTCATTCTGGCAACATCGCTGGAACCAGTTGTATTGGCTCTTGCCTTTCCATTGGACTATTTCAGTGACGTGGAGAGGAGGGATTTGCTGCTTGGGGAATAGCCTGTCCTCCATATTATTTTATCCAGGCTTTGTGCTCTGGAGAGGACACTCCAGCTTTGCATGCAGCATTGAAACAACACAGGAAGTAGTAGTTAGCGGTTATAAGTCTTTGCTCAGTTGGCGCAGAGCATGACACCAGGGGCTACTTCTGATGGTGGGAGAGTCATTGCAGCCCCCAGCCAGTAAGGTGCTACCTCACCATGGTCTGTTAACCTCACGGGGTGCGTGGGGTTTAGGGTGAAAGCTGACAAGCAGATCGATAATCCCGCAGCATGCAACAATCATAAGAAAACTTCTGCCCTAAAGTTAGGCACCTGGAATGTTCGGACAATGGACCCTGGCTTTTTTGACGATTGGCTTTTCTGACGACCTGCAGGAAATAGATGACACATGCAAGATAGCTGTCATTGACATGGTACTGAGTAGACTGCAGGTGGACATTGTTGCCCTGCAAGAGATGAGATTGTCAGACTTGGAATCTGTCAAAGAAAAAACCTTCTCATTCTGGCAGGGAAAACCATTGAATGAGACCAGGGAATATGGTGTTGGCTTTGCCGTCAGAAATACTCTTCTAAGATCCATTGTTCCACCTACTGTGGGGAGTGAAAGAATCGTGTCTCTGCAACTCCACTCATCAGCAGGACCAGTTACCCTCATTAATGCATATGCACCAACACTGTCATCCACTACAGAAGTGAAAGACAAATTCTATGACGATCTGGCAGCTGCTATCAAAAAAGTCCCTGAAAGAGAGGCATTGTTCATTCTTGGAGACTTTAACGCTAGAGTTGGTGCTGATCACAATTCTTGGTCCACTTGTCTAGGCCGTTTTGGCATTGGAAAGACGAACGATAATGGCCAACGCTTGCTGGAGTTTTGCTGTTATTATGGTCTTTGTGTCAGCAACACATTCTGAAATACGAAGCTTCAACACAGAGTTTCCTGGAGACATCCAAGATCCAAGCATTGGCATCAGCTCAATTTGATCCTCACTAGACGTTATAGCCTTTCTAGTATTACGATCACACGCAGCTACCAGAGTGCTGATTGCGATACTGATGACTCCCTGGTGTGTAGTAGAATAAAACTGCAAACAAAGAGATTGTATCACACGAAAAAGGAAGGAAGACCAC